AATGCTGTTGGACTATTACTATAGCCCTTCTTTACTGTAAACAAATAATCAGTCTTAACTCCCTTTTCAGGTAGAGACTTTTCTATTCCTTCCTCCCTGTGTCTCTGGAGGAAGAGGACACTGAAGCTGGCTTGCCCACGGTCCAAATTCTGCTGGTCTGCAGCTCTGTGTAAAGGCTCCCTCAGGTAAAGAAAAGAATTTACTTTTAGCATCTCCCTGGAACTAAATGACTAGTCCGCAATCAAGCTAATATCTTCACCTGATATTTATATAGGACTCCAATGTTTACAGAACGTTTATACAGAGTTTTACGTATTATAGTTTGTAGGTAAGCAGTATGCCCCAGACTACTCAGCTGGTAAATGGAGCAGTCAGGACAAAAAGCTAGGTCTGCCAGCCACTGAGTTCATGTGCCTGTATGGAGAGAGGGAGGAAGGGGTGGTCGCCCTATGGCCCAGGCAATCCTCAGCAGGGGATCCCCGCCTGCCAAGACCATGCAGGAAAAGAGAATTGAATTAGGAATCAGAGGCCCAGAGCCCTTCCTCAAGGAAGATGTGTGGCCTTCGGCAAGCCACTTCAGCCCTCCGAGTCTTTGGTTTTTTCACCTGTAAATCCAAGAAATCTCTAATATTTCTGTAATTGAAAGTTGATATATCTATAATATGAAACCTCAGAACAAAACCAATCCACTTTTGGGTGTTCCATTCCCAAAGTAGTGACATTGTTGATGAACTGGAGTCCTTTTTCCTGCTCAGTTAAAATTCGGGTAGCCAGAATTAGTTATTGAGCCATGGAGAAATTTAGCATAGGTGCCAGTGTTCGGGGTAATTGTGTTTCTGGCATTATGTTGCTCTATGTTGAGAAAATCTGTAGGAAAAAAAGGAATACTTTAAAACAATTCCCTGTACTACCTCTGCAAATTACCATTCTTGTTTACCAACCTCAAACTATTCAGGGAAGTCAGCGAATGCAGAGAACAAAAAAAGCAACTACTTTTCCCAGTGGAGATAACAATTAGTCATTAATCCTGCATTTTTAAAAAACTGCTCCCTTATATTCTATTGCTATAAATAATGACTCAGTTGTGATTATTGGGGAAAAATATGAATCTATGCACCAGACCCTAGAAGAGAGGACTCAGACTTTTGCAGGAAGTCAATACCATTCTAAAAGATACCCTCTGTGGCAAGGATAATTTTAGAATTACTTTTAGTGAAACAATGAATCAATTGCATTTTGTCATGGCATTTTTTTTGTCTTGAGAGAAATAACATGTTAATAAAAAATATCTGAAAATGGTCATCTTTATTTTATGATCTATGTCATCTTCCATCAGTCCTTGTGGGGAGAAGCTTTCAGCCTCTTAGCCTCTTGGGGCAGTGCTGTGGCTCCCTCTGAACTCTGTTCCATTATAACACCAACGGTTGACATTTGTTACTGAGGCAACAAAGTAACAAATAATTTTGCTTTTCCTGGTGTGATACACAGCACACACAAACCCCCCCACACACACACAGACCATACACACACATTTGTAGGACAAATCTACTAAATGCCTATATTTAGGCATCCCTCTCTCTTCCCTTCCTTCTCTCATCTTCATTTGTATTGATTAGCTCCTTTCTATTTTTTCCTTAGCTCAAAAAGGGAAACATAAAATGACTTTAAATTCTAGTACCATGTAAAGACAACATGGAAAAATCGTGGCATGATGCATCTTAGGATTTGTATTTAAAATCCAGTATGCACTATATGGTAGATTGAAGGCATTTAGGTGGAAAGCCAGGAAATAATTATGATCCAAACACACATTTTATTTTATCATAGAGTAGAATGTGATTTCACAACACAGTCACTGCTTAACCAACCACAGTTTACTGTCTTCAGACATCATTGCTTCTAACTACTAGATCAGGGCATGAAATTTTTATGCTCAGTCCCACAGAAATAACTGTTGCATTTTTGCTCAATGGTCCACATTATTCTTTTTAAGGACCATTGGAGCAGCCAGACACACTGGAAGGGACTGTAGAGTGTGGAGGAGATGTAAATCGCGGCATCACCAGTCAGGGAGAGAGGTGGTGAGATCTGCCTGTGGACACAGGATCTGATATGTGCAAGCTTGCCATATTGTAGGACAAAGAAGTATTCTTGAAATATTAGTTGTGCTTACTACACTGCAGTTTTTCATGAGAAAAAAATAATAATTGGACAAGAATTTTCTATTTCCTGCCAAGGGGAAGACACTTATTGCCTACAACGAACATGTCATTGTCCTAGACAGTGCTAGAAAAGCTGTTGCACCTGTGTACTTAGAGACATGTACAAGAATGTCCTTGGCATTTTATATGTAACCGCAAAACGCTGAATCCAAATGTCCATCAACACTACGGTGGATAAATAACGTGAGGCATATTCATACAGTGGGATACTTTGCAACAGTGAAAATAAATGAATGAAATAGAAATTCAAGAGACTTGGGAATATTTGTTGAATAAAAAAAAGCAAGCCACAGGAAAACATATGCAGTATAATTCAATTTATATGAACTTTAGAGATATGCAAAATATAACAATGTATGCTGCAGGGATTCAAACCTATGCAATGAAACTATATAGAAAAATAAAAGAATGCTAAATTAAAATTAGGATAGTGGTTACCTCTGAGAGGAAAATAAAGGAGATGGGATTAGTGAAGATCAATATAAAGATTCAAAATAATGACCATGTTACTTTTCTTAAACTGAATGGTGGTTATTTACTGCATCATATTTTGTTACACCTTTACATAGGCCTTTTGAACCAATTTTTTTAAAGTGGTGTAATTTGTTGATTTTTTTTTCTTTTCCAAAATTTGACTTCGTGGTCCACAGCTAAGACCAGAATAACAGTAATCCATACCAAATCTGGTGCTATCATGTGGGGAGGCAATCGGCCATCAGCCCTCGACATCTAATGTGCTGCCTTTGTGACAATGAATTGGCAATGCACCCTGTTTCTGCATAGAAAGGCTTTGAGTTTGTTCAGCTATTACTGATGTTAATAATAGACGACTGAGAGCACTTCATAAAACTATGAGTCCAGAAACCAATTCTTCAGTATTCTCTAAAACCAGGGAGAAAAGAAACATGGCAAAAGGCAAAACTTTATAAAATCGCTCCTTAGCCAATCACAACGCTAACGGGCACAAATATCGTTTCCTATAATCGTCTCCAGTCCGACAGTCACAGACTGAAGGTGGCGGTGTTCTTCCTGATGGGAGGGGCACTTTCCCAAGGAAGGTGGCGCAACATTCAAATTTGAGGAAACAGAACTGAAGAGCGCTCAGCACTGGGACGGTTCAAGGAGCACACTGGGGAGGCGCCCGACCCAGACTGGGCGTTCAGGAAAGGCGCTGGCGCTTAGTAATGAAGAGGAAATACCTGGGGGATATAGCCTGGAGAAAGAGAGTTCCCGGCAACTGAGGAGCGGTGTTGAGTTTGGGGGATTTGAAATTTCCCTGCCGAGATCTGCACAGATGATCTGGCTGAAACTAAAGATAGACTTCGATTCCCGCCTCAATGCATCGTTGTACTCCACTCCATGCTTTGGAGGCGGCACAGGCCAGGATCAAGGACAAGGGCTGCGGAGGCTGAGACTAGGACTGAATCCCTGTCTGTCTCCGGAGTCTCAGACCAGCTCTCCTTGTCTGTAAAGTGGGGGTGACGACACCTACCTCTTAGGGTTGTGCAGATTAAATGTTCAGTTATTATTACTCATCTACCTTCTTTTGTAGCCAGTGTGACCTTTCTAAAAATACAACTCATGCTTCTCCCCCATTGAAAACTGAACTACTGGTTCTCCATTGCCCACGATAAATATTCAAATCTCTTCACACGGTTTTCACCCCTTTGAGTGACCTGGCCTCTGTGCTCCCTTCCAGCCTCAACTACCTGGCCCTTCAGCCACATTAACTCTTCTCAGTGCCCCAACTCTCCAATAAAGTAAAACACATTTTATAAGTTCATATAAATGTTTCTGTATGATACACTATACTATCTTAGAACTTAAAGGTCTGCAAATAAGGCCCAAGTGTCCATCAATACATGAGTGGATAAGACAACTATGGGACATTTACGCAGTGGGATACTACTTGGCCATGAAAAAAAAGAAAATTTTACCTTTGGAGACAGTGTGGATGGACCTGGAGAACATTATGCTAAGTGAAATAAGCAGTCAGAGAAAGACAAATACCACATGATTTCACTCATGTGGAATCTAATGAACAAACTGAGGTAACAAGCAAAACAGAGACAGACTCATAGAAGGAGAACAGATGACACCTAAAGGTGGCAGGGGTTAGAGGGTGGCAAGACTGAGCAAAAAGAAGAGACTCACAGACATGGACAACAGGGTGGTGATTGCTGGGGGGAGGGGGTATAAAGGGAATAAATGGTAATGGGAAGAACTATAATAAAGATTATATATTTTAAAAACTCCTATAAGTAAGAATCTACATTGCTTTAATATATTATGCATATCAGCACAATGATTAACATTGAACAATAATGAACCAATTTATAATTTCTTGGGAGTAATTTTTAAAAATATAGTAGTTGTTCTAACATCTATTGGGAAATAATTATGTTATATACACATCTTTCTTGTTAGCTATTTCATAGTTTAATGTAAACTGTGATTAATATAAAATAAACATGGGTACATATAATGCATGGGTACATGTATATGGGTACATTTAGTCTAAAATGTTCCCAATCATAAAAGACCATCAGACCAATGCAATAGAGAACCACTTTGCCACAAGTCAGGGTAGACAGAGAAACTGTCAGCCAACAGCAGGCAATGCAAACAATCATATCAGAGGGGAAAGATGCAAAGGAATTTCTGGGAAACTCAGGGATTGCTGTCAGTCTATATGATGTCCCTCTTTTGCTTCAACCAGCAAACCATCAACAGAGTGGCAACCGAACCCTTAGATTCTGAAGGAGAGACTCCTCTTACCTCGGCATCAAAGCGAGGGTCCTGGTAGGCGTCACTGATGTTCACAGGAAGGCCTGTGGAAGCCACGAGCTCAGCAATGCTGTTGTTTATCAGCCAGTCAGAGTATGATGACTTTTCCATGCTGTCTTTGAAACTGTCAGAATACCAGTGCAGGCAGCGAGGAAAGAGAGAAACATCAGTTGCTTGAAAGCAAATCCTGTAAAACTACACTTAAAGCAAGAATACCTGTCCTCATTAAGAAGGGATAAATGGCATTAGTCACAGAACAATAGAGGAGTGATTATTAGGATCTTCTTTAAAAAAGTTTACCTACTGTAAGGTAAAATGATCACATCCATGCATAGAAATGATAGATTCTCTACGGTCCAGAGAGTAGCACTAGATTGTATTTAGGCTTCGAAGTCAGATGACGAGCAAAACTGAAGCTAGGACACCGGGATGAAGTCCACTCACCTCACCAGCCCTCCCCCCCTAACTGAGCAGACTAGATGTTTGGCACCAAACAAAATGAAACCCAAGAACGGGTAAAAATCAGAAAATAAATTGACAATAAATTGACATACTGAGCTCTGACAGCCAGGAGCTGTGGAAATGCAAACTCAAGCACTGTTCAAATTAGCAACATCGAGGTAAATTTTCATGGAGGATGTAAGATTTGTGGCTTAGGAGGTGATAAGGAAAATTATGTAAATGAGCACAAGTACATTGGGGCACAAGTAAACTATAATAGTCTTCAAACTACATTCTGTGGTTTCCAGGAGGTATAATGAGTATACTACAGCAAGAATAATAATAACAACTCTATTGACTTTTTAATCTAAAATGCATTATACGTAAGCAAAGCACTAAACGCTGCACGTGGTCCTTGTTGTTACGCAGTGATGCATCTGTGTGGGACCTGTGCCCAACTGAGAAGGCCCGGAACTAGCACAGCGAGGCCACCGCGTGCATGAGTGAGTGGGAAGCAGAGGTATTATTTGCCATCATTAATATAGTTCACCTGTAATGACTGTTGGTCTGTACCTGATAAATTCAAGATATTTTTGCATATTTTGTGATATTATTAATCCTTTATTTCATATTAAACATCACTAGTATATAAATTTATTCTCTGTGGATCTCTGCCTGAAAATGGAAGTTTTAATAAAAAGCTGAGTCTTATACTTCTCAGATGGCACCTGAATCAAAGAAGTAAAAAGACTGAGGACTTCAAAGATGACAGAAAGCTTTTTTACTTTCTAAAAGAAAAAACCCAAAGGAACAACAAAAGAAGTCCACGTTTCATTTTTGCCTTGTTAAATTATACCTGTGAGAAGTGAAAGAAAAAAAAGGGAGGGGGCAGGGAGACACGTGATAATGCACCCGGTATGACAATCCAATTTCATGGAGTCATTTCCAAGTTTATCGAGGGTGGGATTGAATGTTGGTAATTCTTGCAGAAATTAATCGGTCTGTCAATTCACCCTGTGCTGTCTGTGTACTGTATTCCATACTACAAGTTTTAAAAAGTGTTCTGTGATAAAATAGTGTGGAAGGTGCTGACCGAGAGTGTGGTGGAAAGAAAAGCTGCAGTAGGACCCTGGGGATGAGTCAGGGAAGGACCCTGGAAATAAAGGGTTGGGTGGGGGGAGGCAGAGGGTGGCGAAGGGGGCCCAAGGAAGGAGCTGGTTTTATCGACAAGCATCAAAAATATTTAATCTGGGTTTTTCAGGATGGGCAAGAGTTCAGACAGGAGGGATTGGGGGCATGAGGAGGAAAGCACAAAGAGAGGAAGAAACATCGAGAACAAGAGACAGAAAGGGGGCACAGCAGAGTACAGGGTGCTCCTCAACACGTTAATAATTAGTCCCCTTTGATGGCAGCACAGGGTGCAGACTGTGTGGGGATAAGACTGAGAAGCAGTTCAGGACTTGAAGGCGGAGGCTTTGACCGAGGAGCTGAGACTCTAGTTATAGGGAATGGGGAGCTGCTTAAGAGTATTGTCCAGGGAAATAACATGACTTGAGCTGTGATTTTTTAGGAAGCTTAATCTGGGGACAAAGAGCAAAAAGAGTTGGCTAAGAGAGATTGAAGGTGGGAGGGATCCTTGTACACCGTTCAGGTTGTGCAGCTGGGAGGTGATGATGCTGCCCACCTGAGAGGTGCTGCAGAAGGTTTCACAGGGCTGGGTGGGCAAACAGCAGTGGCTTACATTTCACTCATGTGCCTGTGGCACGATTAGCAGAAGTGAGTGTTTTGAGGAGTGAGGAGACGAGAAAAGGTAAGAGACATTCTGTGATCCTAGAACACATCATTCACTGTTGAAAACCCAGGAGCAGAACCTGTATCAAATCTTTAGGACTAAAAGTACTGATACAGAGTTGGGAGTATCTTTGGGGAAAATAAAATGGATGAGATCACTTAGGGAGAGAATATGTAAGTAAATCTACATCTAGGGGAAAGAAGGAGAAGAAAGGCAATAATAAGGGGTTAGGGGATAAAGAGAAGAAATTGAAAAAGGTAAAATAAATCCATCATCACCCATGGTGGGCCAAGAGCCCAGATGGATGTTTTACCTGATGAATTTGTTTTGTTCTCACATAAATCTTACAAGATGGGTACAATTCTCTACACTTTACAGGTCAGAAAGCTGAGGCTCAAAAATGCTAAACAATTTTCCCAAGTGGAGATAGAATTTTCAGCTACATGTGACTCCAGAGCCCCGGATTATTTTGTTTATCCGATTGCCTCTCAGGGAAGGAGCTCCTGTGCAGGAGTAGAGCAAGAATAGTAAGTTCTCACCCAAAGAAAAAGAGGGCCAGTCAGTATCACAGTGTTTCAGGAAGATGCTGCAGCTAAGAAACACTTTGGGCTGAGAGTGGGGTCAAAGGAAGAGGGAGGAAAGCACTTCGGACTTGATAATCCAGCACTTTTAGGTCCCTCCTTCCAGAATCCCGAAAGAAGATGATGATGATGGAAACACTCACTGAGCAGAGGTTCCTGAAAGATTCATTCTAAAGATAAAACATGCTTAGATCTGGTTAGATCAGGCTGCATCTGTATTGAAATCACTATAAAATTGTTGTTGAACAGTGTAGTAGACAGCAGAATTGACTCTGTGCAAGGCACTACTGAGGGGCTTTCTGGAAAGGATGAGCTATGGTCTCTGTCCTCCTGGGGATGGCCACCCACATGGGGAAATGAGGCAAACACACAGACTGACATTTAAACAATACATAATTTCAAATAAAAAATTGTCACATGGCTGTGACAACTAGTTTCTAAGTCAACTGTACCAGTTATGACGTGGAAGAAGTGCAGGGAGGGAGAAACCATATCAGGGGTTGTCATCTAGCTACGGCTTCAGAACGGAGGTGAGAGACAAGCTGACCTGTAGCTGCAACAGTGCAAGCAGATTTTCTGAAAATGACCTCTCCATTTCTTCAGCTTCATGTGGCCCAGGGCCACAAATTAAGGCCCAGTGTGACAGAATGCTCAGAGCAACAGTCAGAAAGGTAGATCTGTCTTTCTGTTGTATTTATGCCACATTCTGGCTTTCATACAAATTCACCCCTCCAAATCTAATGTTCTACTGTAATGCAAATCATGACAGAGTTAAAGCTTTCAAAACCTTGCTCTTCTTTATATAAGCAATTTTGTTTTGTGATTAAAAGCATGAGCTTGAGAGTCAGATATACCTGAATAAAATATCTGTTTTACCATGTCCTAGCAAAATGATCTCAGACATGTTACTTACATTTTACCTATACCAAAGAGATAATGCTACCACAAAGATATTGTGCAGACTAAAGTAATAATTTCTGCAAGTGTTTCACTAGGCCATAGCACACATTTTGTTTAAAAAAAAATCAACTTTTTAGCAATTCCCAAAGTAAGCTCTGCATCTAGCAGTACCCTTCCATACATTTTGGTAATGTGGTGCTGTGAATTTAATGACAAAGGAAAGGGCCCAAATTAATTGTGCTTCTTGAGGGGCGCATCTGGCTTAAAGGATCAGTTCCTTCCTAAAGGTCCTAGATGTTGGCTCCTTCAGACTTAGGAGGGTCTTTTTAGTGTGTGTGGTTTCTTCCCAGTCAAAAGGGTCAAGATGAATAGTTCTTAATAGGTCTTATTTTTTAACAGGCTTTTGGAAGCTTAAATTAATATCAAAAACTGAATAAACCAACTTTGTAGAGCTCCCCCCAATCTGATCAGAGATAACAAAGACCAACAAATCCAACACTGAGGTTTTCAGTTTGGGCCAGAACCAAGATAAGAAGAATTACCACAGTTTGGAAATGCATCACTCATTCGATTATTCTGCAGTTTGTGGGTGCAAATGAGATCCCATCAGTTCAGTGGATCTCAGCTGCTATGTGCAGAATTGCAAGAATGCAGTCAACGCCAAGTCCTCTCCCCACCCCCCTGCCTCTAGGGAGACATTCTTTCACTTGAGACCCCTTGTCAAAGCCCACTGCTTGGAATTCTCTCGAAAGAGGCCAGACACTGGCTCCCAGAGTACCAAAGTTTCATGCACTAAGGGAAGAATTCTCTTCCCAAGCTCTGCAAAGAATTTTGGCCCCTAGTTTCTAAGGCCGTAATGCTTGTGTCTACATTATCACAAGTTTCCTCATTAAATAGCCCCTTTAACTTCTGCCCATACCCCTCTCTGTGCAGGTAAAAGGTAGGGCTGAGCTTACCATCCATCTGCGGATGGGTTACTATCAACCAACTCCTTTCAGCAAAAAGAAAAAGGTTCTTAATAATCATCTCATGCACGCAGATGTCTGGTATGCATGTTGGTGGTCATGCATGTATGATACTTGTCAAGATACTTACTGCACACAGGGCCCTACAGAGAGGGGGAAATATGGCTTAGCATCCTTGACAATACTCGTTTGTTGATGAAAAACAAAAGTTGGTTGGGAAACCATTCAAATATTCCTAGAGTTTGTTTTAATATCTTGCCCATGTTTCATAGCTTTTCACATTCAAGACACCATGCAACTTTGACACCTGTAGTGAGGATTTTTTTTTCAAATTTGACATAAAAAAACACAGTAGCAAAATAAAAAATCCTTAAACTAAGAGTCTGAAAAAAGTAAAATAAACCTAATTGTCATATAAACTTCAGCAACACTTTCTTAAAGAGTA